ATATATATATATATATATATATATATATATATATATATATATATATAGAGCGTAAGGAAAAATTATATATATATATATATATATATATATATATATATATATATACGAGGGTAAGTAAAATTTATCCAAACTTTTTTTTAACATATCTTTAGGTTTTTTGCAGACTGCCTTCTGCTCATGCGTGCTTATAGTTGGTACAATTGTGTTTACGTGACAGAAATTTCAGCTTCATCGCCTCAGTTTTCCTTCTGCTGTTACAGTGTAAACATGACCGCTTCGCTTGCAGTGTGCACCAAAGAAGAACTCTTAGCAATGATCCGATTTCTCTGGTCGGAAGGTGTATCAGGGAATGAATTTCATCGGGGGCTTTTAACAAAAGACACGCTTAAAAGTGTGTGGAAGTGTATGAGGAAGTTTGAAATTGATAGACAAGCATGACGAAGGAGCTGTATGCCGGTCAACATCCGACACTGACGAGAAAATTCAGCAAGCTGAGAGAGATTGTAATGGTGAACCGGCGAATCGATGTGGAAGCATTGTATCTTCTTCCCTTTTTATTGTGTCTGTTTCATGGCGGAATAACCTAGTGTATTAAAGTGCTACTTCGTGAATTTGGTGACATTGATTTTGAATTGAATTCATAGGCTGGGTAGTACAAACCCAGATTCAATGATAACAGTGTTTAAATGTTTAAATAAATGCTGCGGCTATAACTGGTGGTTCACTGAAATGAGAAACACCTGAAAAAAGACCAGTGGACGCAAAGTCGCATATGTGATAATAACGACAAAAATGAAGATATTGTTAGTTTAAACAAAGAAAATATGACAATAGTTTAATTAAGGTAAAGAAAAGAATCCGTTTCATTATACAGTGCATCACAACTTATTGCTACTGAGAAATTCCACTCCAGTCAGACTTCTATTTCTTTTTATGTGCCGTGTCCTTTCAGGACGTAGACGATCATGGCTCTCCACTTACCCCTACCCTTGTGGCTCTCAACAGGTTTTGTGTTTCTGCCAACTCTTCCAGACCACGCTCCGTCATCCACCTGCCCTAGCCCGCCACGTATGTCATGCAATGCTTCCCCCTGTTTCTTTTCCCTCTATTCGACCCGTGAGTATCAGATTCTCCAGACCATCCTTTCTCATCACAAGTCCCAGAAATGTCATCTGCCTCTTCCTTGTGTTAAGCATAAGCTTCCTCCTTGTTTGCATCCTCTCCAAGACCTCATCGTTGCTTACATTCTCGGTCCATGATATCCTCAGTATCCTTCTGTAGAACCACATCTCCGCTGCCTCGAGTCTCTTCTTCATCCTTGAGGCTACCGTCCAACATTGGCTGCCGTATAGGAGGACAGATGTCACGTAGCAGCTCAGTACTATTTTCTTTGTCATCATCCAAATCCTACTGTTTCGCAGTACTCTGCCCAAATTCTGCAATGCATCCTTGGCCATCCCAATCCGTCTTCGGATCTCAGTGTTGCACCTACCGTCCTCCATCAGAACACTTCCCAGATACTTAAGCTCCCGCACATGTTGGATTTTAGTGACCCCGGCATTTTACTGACGGCCATACATTCTGTCTTCTTGTACTTTATGGTTAGTCTTTTCTTCTCGCTCTCCCTCACTACGTTCTGTAGAAGGTTTTTATAGTTTCTTTTCCGTGTCTGCTCTCAGTACCGTGTCATCTGCGTATCTTATGTTGGTAAGGTTGTGGCCGGCAATGATGAATCCTCGTGGGATCTTCAGTTCCTTCAGAATTGCCTCGCTGTATAGGTTGAAAACTACCCGTCCGAAATTTATGTTGTATCAATGGAAGAAGCTCGCATCTATTTGACCCATCTATTTGAAGAAGCACATACGTGATGTGTTGGACGAACAAATTCGCTCCACGGAATTTCTATCACGAAATTGGCAGCAGTCATAAAACCTTTTTTTTTAAATCTTGTATCCTTTAGACGTCTTTGACGTACACGAATCTCGCTTACACTGGAGAAAAGTGGACGAAAGCGAACATTTGTGTTGCTTTTTTTATTACTTCACCCCTAATCAAGGCGATACAACCACTAGGATGCTACGGGTTGCTGAGTGTTAGAGAATATGAAAAAAATCTACTATTAAAGGGAGAGGATAATAAAAAAAATAAGCATTAAGAAGACATTGCCTTAAAATTGTTCAAGATCAAAGTTGACTAGAAAACTAGAAGCCGAAAGAGAGTTCCACGAGCAAGAAGTGAGATAGAACTCTTAGCATAGAACTTAGCCGTCTCAACTGTAAAATGATTAGACCGATCCGCCAATCTAGTAAGGCGTTTAAATCTATAAAATCTAGGCACCATAGTGAGAAGTTCATTAGATCAGTTATCATGAGAGTATTTCTAAAAAGGTTGCCGTGAAGCTACATTACGGTACTGGGAAATGGATTGAAGCCAGACTGTATAACATATGTTAAATAGCAGAGTTAACTCAGATTTTCAGCCTTGGTTGCCAGTCTAGAAT